CTCTTTCCCTTCAGTGCAGTCTGCCGTCTATGAAAGGCCTGAGAGAGAAAAGAGAGGAAAAGGCTTTTCTTTCTGCATTCCGAGATGTGTTGCGATAGTGAGCGACACACAAAGACCGGAGCAGTGTGCTATCACCACACGGTTGACGCCACACATTCCAGAGTTGTCAAACCTATCTGGCTTTCATATCGCCCAGATTACAATGGAGGACAAGAAAGAATAAAGAAAACATAATGGAGGATACAGATAGTAGTAGCGTCGAGCTTGGTGTACAATAAAGAACAATGTATGTTGCCTATCCAGCAAACCGGGAACATTCACAGAACATTAGCTAAGATTCCCATTAAGTTATACACTGCTCAAAAAATAAAGGGAACACTTAAACAACACAATGTAACACCAAGTCAATCACACTTCTGTGAAATCAAACTGTCCACTTAGGAAGCAACACTGATTGACAATAAATTTCACATGCTGTTGTGCAAATGGAATAGACAACAGGTGGAAATTATAGGCAATTAGCAAGACACCCCCAATAAAGAAGTGGTTCTGCAGGTGGTGACCACAGACCACTTCTCAGTTCCTATGCTTCCTGGCTGATGTTTTGGTCACTTTTGAATGCTGGCGGTGCTTTCACTCTAGTGGTAGCATGAGACGGAGTCTACAACCCACACAAGTGGCTCAGGTAGTGCAGCTCATCCAGGATGGCACATCAATGCGAGCTGTGGCAAGAAGGTTATCTGTGTCTGTCAGCGTAGTGTCCAGAGCATGGAGGCGCTACCAGGAGACAGGCCAGTACATCAGGAGCCGTAGGAGGGCAACAACCCAGCAGCAGGACCGCTACCTCCGCCTTTGTGCAAGGAGGAGCACTGCCAGAGCCCTGCAAAATGACCTCCAGCAGGCCACAAATGTGCATGTGTCTGCTCAAACGGTCAGAAACAGACTCCATGAGGGTGGTATGAGGGCCCGACGTCCACAGGTGGAGGTTGTGCTTACAGCCCAACACCGTGCAGGACGTTTGGCATTTGCCAGAGAACAACAAGATTGGCAAATTCGCCACTGGCACCATGTGCTCTTCACAGATGAAAGCAGGTTCACACTGAGCACATATGACAGACGTGACAGAGTCTGGAGACGCCGTGGAGAACGTTCTGCTGCCTGCAACATCCTCCAGCATGACCGGTTTGGCGGTGGTTCAGTCATGGTGTGGGGTGGCATTTCTTTGGGGGGCCGCACAGCCCTCCATGTGCTCGCCAGAGGTAGCCTGACTGCCATTAGGTACCGAGATGAGATCCTCAGACCCCTTGTGAGACCATATGCTGATGCGGTTGGCCCTGGGTTCCTCCTAATGCAAGACAATGCTAGACCTCATGTGGCTGGAGTGTGTCAGCAGTTCCTGCAAGAGGAAGGCATTGATGCTATGGACTGGCCCGCCCGTTCCCCAGACCTGAATCCAATTGAGCACATCTGGGACATCATGTCTCGCTCCATCCACCAACGCCACGTTGCACCACAGACTGTCCAGGAGTTGGCGGATGCTTTAGTCCAGGTCTGGGAGGAGATCCCTCAGGAGACCATCCGCCACCTCATCAGGAGCATGCCCAGGCATTGTAGGGAGGTCATACAGGCACGTGGAGGCCACACACACTACTGAGCCTCATTTTGACTTGTTTTAAGGACATTACATCAAAGTTGGATCAGCCTGTAGTGTGGTATTCCACTTTAATTTTGAGGGTGACTCCAAATCCAGACCTCCATGGGTTGATAAATTTGATTTCCATTGATAATGTTTGTGTGATTTTGTTGTCAGCACATTCAACTATGTAAAGAAAAAAGTATTTAATAAGATTATTTCATTCATTCAGATCTAGGATGTGTTGTTTAAGTGTTCCCTTTATTTTTTTGAGCAGTGTAGTTAGGGTTTTATCTAACAATAGGATGATAACATCCCAACATTTATTTCAGAACATTTTTTAATTAAATATCCTTGGAATGTTCTAACATTCACTAAAATGTTGTGCACAACATCTGTATCCACCACCACAGAACATTCCCCAAATGTTCTCATTAGGCTTCCAGGTAATGTAATAACACAATGTACCAGTAATGTTTTTAGAACATACTGCCACAACAAAATGTGAGAGCAACGTTCTGGGAACATTCTTGCTAAATCAGGTGAATGTTTTATTCAATCTATAATCTATAATCAACTGGATAGTATAATCATCAGCACAACTGGATAGTTTTTGTGTTATGAGAACATTTGCCACAACCTAATGAATGTTCAGGGAACCTTCACAGAACAAATGTTGGTTTGCTGGGTAGGTATTGCTGGCACTAAAGAAAGGGAGTGTGTGTGTGTGTATGTGTGTGTGTCTGTGACTATTTCTATTTTTGAATGAATGCATGGAATTATGTAATTTTATGGTATTGATATATTTGATAACATTTATATTGAGCACTATAAAAGTGTTTAACAGGCTTGGAGGTGTTTCTCTTTGGTTTCTAATGTTCTCTCTCTATCTCTCTCTCTCTGAGAGCTGCAGGCCACCTGCCTCCCCATGTACTCCTTTCTTTGTTACTTTTCTTTAGACTTAAAGGGATTTTTGAACACCACAGAGTTAGCCCTGAGGGCAAAGGACAGGAGCAGGCAGTGTGGATACTGTGATTCGAAACATAAACGCTTTGGGCAACAGTTCAATCACTGAGCTATCTATTTTAACTATCATGTTTGAAAACAATATAAAAGTATAATCTGAAGTCATTTTAATGTTTTGGTCTTGTTTAACAAAGACCTTAGCCAAGGGATTAAACGGCATGTATAATAACACATGAAAATGAAACAGTGTTTTTTTGGGGGGGGGAAATTAGAGAACAAAATGTGTTATGATTGAATATTTACAACAAATGTGCAGACAATAATATGGACTTACAAACTGGAGATCATAAAGTCATGAATCCAGCCTATTTCTACAATGTATCTTCTTAAAATCTGATTTTAAACCTCTCTAACCTTAACCCTAACTTTAGCCACACTGCTAACCTTATGCCTAACCCTAACTTTAAATGTAGACAAAAAAGCACATTTTTTGGAATCAGACATTGTGGCTATGGGAGCTACAGTATTTCTAAAATGTGAACTCACTTCCTTGTAACTTGCGCTGCTTGCGGTTTGAAATCCATAATCTAGGGGGAAGGTTCTAGGGGTTGCTCTAGATGGTGATGGACTGAGAGATCAGCCAAATAAAACCGACAGCTGTTTCCGATGCTCCTGCCATAGACTCCCATTCAAGTTCCATTCTGAGGCACTGTGAAACCAGACAGTTCAACAGAGAGAGAGCCGTCTGGTGGATGAGATTAGGCAGAAAATAATCTGAAACACAAAATAAAACTAACTGCAAATACATCCAACAAGTTTGTAGTCACAAGCTTGATGTAGTCTTTGCATGCTAGGAATATGGGACCAAATTCTAAACTTTTGACTACTTTATTTAGAAAAATCTTTAGGGATTTCAATAATTTTGACCCCTACCTTTTTAAGAAAAAAAAGTTTTACTTGTTAAATAAAATCTCTTTCTCTGAGCAATTGTATAACTATAAAATAATTTAATTTCCCCATTTATTTGAGCATACAATGCCTTCCGAAAGTTATTTTCATACCCATCTACACACAATACCCCATAATGACAAAGTGAAAACATGTTTTTAGACATTTTTGCTAATTTATTGAAAATGAAATACAGAAATATCTCATTTACATAAGTAATCACATCCCTAAATCAATACTTTGTAGAAGCTTCTTTGGCAGTGATTACAGTTTTTAGCCATCTTGGGTATGTCTGTATCACATCTGGATTTGGGGATTTTCTCCCATTCTTCCTTGCAGATTTTCTCAAGCTTTGTTAGATTAGATGAGGAGGGTGGTAAACAGCTATCTTCAAGATTTTCAATGGGATTCAAGTCTGGGCTTTGGCTGGGCCACTCAAGGACTTTCACATTCTTGTTGTGAAGCCATTCCAGCATTGCTTTGGCTGTATGCTTGTGGTCATTGTCCTGTTGGAAAGTAAATATTTGCCCCAGTCTAAGGTCATTTGTACTCTGAAGCAGGTTCTCATCAAGGATTTTCCTGTATTTGGCTCCATTCATTGCTTCCTCTATCCTTACCAGTCTCCCAGTCCCTGCCGCTGAAAAGCATCCCCATAGCATGATGCTGCCACCACAATGCTTCAAGGTAGGGATGGTGTTAGACAGGTGATGCGCTGTGCCTGGTATTCTCCAGACAATAGCGATTTGCATTCAGGCCAAATAGTTACATTTTTGTCTCATCAGACCACATAATATTTTGCCTTATGCTCTCAGTCTTTCACGTACCTTTTTGCAAGCTCCAGGCGTGCTGTCATGTTTATTTTTTATCAGGAGTGGCTTCCGTCTGGCCACTCTCCCATAAATCCCAGATTGGTTAAGTGCTGTAGAGACTGTTGTCCTTCTGGCAGGGTTCTTGGTCACCACTGTGCTCTTGGAAACGTTCAACACTCTAGTGTTTTACACTCTTCCCCAGGTACTGTATATGCCTCATCACAATTCTATCTTGGAGATCTACAGACAGTTCCTTGGACTTCATGGTATAGTTTCTGCTCTGACATACACTGTCAACTGTGGGACCTTATATAGACAGGTGTGTTTCTTACTAAATCATGTCCAAACAATTGAGTTGGCCACAGGTGGACTCCAATCAAGTGTAGTGATGAGTGATGAGGGATGATCAAAGGAAATTGGATGCACCTGAGCTCAATTTGGAGTGTCATAGTGTGGATACTTATGTAAATGAGATATTTCTGAATTTCATTTTCAATACGTTTCATTTTGTCATTATGGGGTATTGGGTGAGAAGAAAAACAAAACAATTAAATCCATTTTGAATTCAGGCTGTAACACAACAAAATGTGGAAAAAGTCAAGGGGTATGGGTATGAACACTTTCTGAAGGCACATTATAGCCCAGTATTTTAATTATTTACTTTATACAACAGTCACTATTGCTCATCTTTATCAAGGGTGTCAATAATTTCAGATCCCACTGTATACATGTATCTTGTGCTCTAAAAATACAATATCTTACAATCCTTTGAAAAATGCTGAGCACATTTATTTTTACTAAATACTGAAATAGATTTGGGTACACATATTTTCTTAAATACAGTATTTCACTAGTTATGCATTTTACAGTAACCAGTGTTGTTATAGAAAATACACTTATGGACATGAGTTCCTCAGGCCCTCAGCAATGCCTCCACTGAGAACGGTAATGGCCGCCTCACCACTGTGGGTTTCATTGAGTTGATCTGAGGTTTGTCATGATGCCTAGTCCCCCCTGCTGACCAGTCCTTGGGTGTGAGGAAGTGAGGCTCTGGGAACCTGCTGGGTTTGTAGGGTTCTACCTCTCCCTGAAACACATGCTTTGGCTCAGAGGGAGAGTCAGAGTGTGTGACGGCTGTTTTTGGCATGATGGCCATTGGAACTGTTGGATCGTCTTTGACCCATTTTGGCACGGCCTTATCCTTGTCCAGATCAGCTGAGCCATCAGAATAACTACTCCCCCACTGTTGGAGTTGTAGTGAGGGCAGCAGTAACGGCTCTTGACAGCTCTCCCTTTTCCCGGAACACTCCCAGCTCTCCAGTGCTCTCTCCCTGGCTCGCTCCATGTGTTCCAGAACCCCAGAATTAGAGTTACACTTTGACATGAACTGACCATAATCATAACCACTATCTGCTGATCTGGCCTTGAGCTCTTCCTGGTAGCAGTGGAAGTCACACTCATACAGCACAGGGCCCGGTTTGTATTTGTACACAGGCGCGTAGGCGGATGCCCCAGGGTCCTTGAGTGGGCAGCAGTGGTGGGGGGAGGCGGGCATCACTGCCAGGGCCGGGTGGTGAAGCAGGGTGAGACCTGATATGTCCTCCAGCTCTCTCTGTCTCAGCTCTCTCTCCAGCATCACACTCTCCAGCTCCTTATCAGCAAATGCCCTCCTCTTCCTCATCCTGGCACTGACAGAGGGGAAGTGACGTCGCTTGGACCAGGGGCCGTCCTCCGCCACAGGGAGTTTGTACCCTATAGGGAAATATACAACACTGATGTCATTTAGCTGTATAATGATGACCTGAGAACACTTTCTGTTTAACTATAATAACTTAAATCTACAGTATAGGAAGTTAAACAATGAACACATTAATGTACCAACTTTATTTAGGTGAATGAAGTTGAAATTCATAAAGCCAAAGTAGGTGCTCTAAACACAGCTGTGATGACATTGCTATGGTGTGTGTACCTGTTCATGTGCGTACTCATGGGAAAGTAGAGGTAACACGACCTCATCATTTTGTCTCCCAACCGCTCGCTGGTAAACACAGCTTGTAATTCCATACCCCATATTTGCATAATTTCAATTACCATAAATAAAATACAAACAGATCTAATCCCTATAGACGAAACAGGCAGTGTAATTACTGACTTATCCCGTGTGATGTAGCCCCCTGTCTGGTCTGAGACAGGAGATGGGGTAATGAGCTAGATGCTAATGAACTGTTATCCTCTCATCTACAGTGCCTTCATAAAGTATTTACACCCCTTAACTTTTTCCACATTTTGATGTGCTACAGCCTGAATTTCAAATTGATTAAATAGATTATTTTTGTCACTGGCCTACACACAATACCCAATAATGTTTACAAATTATACTTTTTTTTAAAAAGCTGAATGTCTTAAGCCAATAAGTATTCAACCCCTTAGTTATGGCAAGCCTAAATAAGTTCAGGAGTAAAAATTTGCTTAACAAGTCACATAATAAGTTGCATGGACTCACTCTATATTTTCATAATTTCATAATTCATTTTAAAAAAGGAAAAATATTTACAGCCGAAAATCTGGTGTTTCTATGTCAAACGGCGTTGTTATATTTCAGTCTTCTGTGATGTATTGTATATAAGTAAGGGATAAACGCCGACATTCTGTACATTACCTTGGAAATAATGGACAACGCAGCGGAACGAGGCAGAGTCGAGTCCCTTTGCGGAGTTCATTTTTTCAAGGTAATGTAATTTATACCACAGTTGACAAAGAAAACAATATGAAAGCACACATTTACCGGTAGAAATATAATTTATTTGTAGATATTTTCATTTTTTTAAGCAAATTCATACTTTCTCATCTTTTGGTTGCCCAGTCGTTCGTTAGATTAGTTTGATATTTACAGATGTGATCCAGTCGTTCATTCTTTATGTTCCATTGCAAAGCTCGCTGGCAACGTTCTTATCCCCCGCTTGCTAGCTAGCCAGCTAGCTACGGCTAACACAGTCACGACCTCTGCAGCCAGAATCACAGCAAATTAGCTGTTAATAACTTGAGCATGAAGTTATTAATTACACTTTGGATGGAGTATTAATACACCCAGTCACTACAAAAATACAGGCATCCTTCCTAACTCAGTTGCCGGAGAGGAAGGAAACCACTCAGGGATTTCACACAAAATCCAGGTGTGGAAAGCACTTAGACTTACCCAGAAAGACTCACAGCTGTAATCGTTGCCAAAGGGGATTCTAACATGTATTAACCCAGGAGGTTGAATACTTATCTAATGAAGATATAGTAGTGTTTTATTTTCTATACATGTTTTACAAATGTTTATCATTTTTGTCCACTTTTGAGTATTTTGTGTAGATCGTTGAAAAAAAGTACTATTAAATCAATTTTAGTCCCACTTTGTAACACAACAAAATGTGGAAAAAGTCAAGGGGTGTGAATACTTTCTTAAGGCACTGTATAGCATAGGCTACTGATAGCTAGGTTGCTACAGTAGGTGCTCTGGTCTATCACTGATACATACCCTCTAGGATACTCTTTGCTAAGATGCTAGGTGCTCTGGTGTAGCGCTGATAAGCGGTGCGACGGAACGGTGCGGCTGCTCCCCTGACCCCTTTCTTACCCTGCAGAGGAACGGGGTAAAAGTCACATACATTAAAATATATTGACATACAGTGCCTTCAGAAAGTGTTCATACCCCTTGACTTATTCCACATTTTGTTGTGAAACAGCCTGAATTTAAAATAGATTAAATATATTTCTCACCCATCTACACACAATACCCCCTAATGACAAAATGAAAACATGTTTTTAGAATCTTTTTACAATGTATTGCAAATGAAATACATACATATTTAATTTACATAATTGTTCACACCCCTTTGCTATGACACTCCAAATTGAGCTCAGGTGCATCCCATTTCCTTTAATCATTCTTGAGATGTCACTGCAACTTTATTGGAATCCACCAGTGGCCAATTCAGTTGTTTGGACATTATTTAGAAAGAAACAAACCTGTCTATATAAGGTCCCACAGTTGACAGTGTATGTCAGAGCAGAAACTATACCATGAAGTCCAAGGAACTGTCCGTAGATCTCCAAGATCGAATTGTGATGAGGCATATACAGTATCTGGGGAAGGGTATTTAACAATTTCCAAGACCACAGTAGTCTCCATCATTGGGAAATTGAAAAAATATGGAGCTACCCAGACTCTGCCTAGAGCTGGCCGTCCGACCAAACTGAGCAACCGGGCAAGAAGGGCCTTGGTCAGGGACCACTCAGGGACCACCAATGACCACTCTGACAGAAATACAGAGTTCCTAGGCTGAGATAGGAGAACCTGCCAGATGGACAACAGTCTCTAAAGCACTTCACCAATCTGGGTTTTATGGGAGAGTGGCCAGACGGAATTCACTCCTGAGAAAAGGGCACATGACAGCACGCCTGGAGTTTGCAAAAAGGCACGTGAAAGACTCTGAGATCATAAGGCAAAAGATTCTGTGGTCTGAAGAGACAAAAATGCTACTATTTGGCCTGAATGCAAAGCGCTATGTCTGGAGAAATCCAGGCACAGCTCATCACCTGTCTAACACCATCCCTACCATGAAGCATGGTGGTGGCAGCATCATGCTATGGGGGTACTTTTCAGTGGCAGGGACTTGGAGACTGGTAAGGATAGAGGGAACAATGAATGGAGCCAAATACAGGCAAATCCTTGATGGGAACCTGCTTCATACTGCAAACAACTTTAGACTGGGGCAAAGATTTATGTTCCAACAGGACAATAACCTCAAGCATACAGCCAAAGCAACGCTGGAATTGCTTCAGAACAAGAATGTGAAAGTCCTTGAGTGGCCCAGACAAAGCCCTGACTTGAATCCCATTGAAAATCTGTGGAAATACTTGAAGATGTCTGGTCACCGCCGCTCCTCATCTAACTTAACAGAGCTTAAGGAAAATCTGCAAGGGAGAATGGGAGAAAATCCCCAAATCCAGATGGGCAAAGCTGATACAGACATACTCAAGACGACTCAAAGCTGTAATCGCCGCCAAAGGTGCTTCTACAAAGTATTGACTCAGGGGTGTGAATACTTATGTAAATGAGATATTTATATATTTTAATTTCAATACATTTGCACAAAAATCTAAAAACATGCTTTCACTTTGTCATTATGGGGCATTGTCTGTATATGGGTGAGATTATATATATATATATATATATATATATATATATATATATATATATGTATTACCCATTTTGAAATCAGGCTGTAACACAACAAAATGTGGAATAAGTCAAGGGGTTTGAATATTTTCTGAAAGCACTGTATGCATTAACCCCATGGGGAAATTAATTAAGGCAATATAACTTATTACACTAGAGCAGTAAATACAGTCAAGTACAGTACATGGTAGGTGTACCGTCATAGCCTATATAATATGTAATGTATTTAGGCAAGTTTGTTACAGAATAATGACATGTTAGTTTTCCTGGTGTAAGGCCTATAATTCCTATGATAAAATGCTTTTAAGTGTAAACAAATTAGTTTTATGAGTGGAATAACTTAAATTAAATTAAATGTTAATAACATTACCTATCCAGAAATGTAAAGCAAAAACAACCTATGGTTTTTATGTGAAACTGAGCAATATAGTTTTTTGTTTTCATTATCACAAAAGGAAAGGAGCAATGCATATTAATTTGCTTATTAATCCTACACACTTTCTAAGAGAATATCAAACTATATATTTTTTTACATTGAATATGGAATATGGCAATGAACTGTTTCCATTTCCGCATTTGTCTTTCCGAGCAAATGTAGACAAAAAGGAACAAGTGCATGATGCACTGGCAAGGCCGGCCCGATATATATATTGTTTTAGGAACTCAATCGGGGTCTCAACTTACTGTTGAGAGTTAGAACAGTAGAATACACAAGGTGCAATTTCAAAATTTGGTTGTTCATCAGCAGTTTTCCTCTTGTTATGTCAGTCACTGACAGTCACTCAATTAGCCCATTTCAGCATTTTCAACCAAATTTCGCTTAGGGCTGGCCTTGCTCACAGGAATAGTCTTACCTGACCTGTATTCAATATGTAATTACATCGTCATCCAATAGACCTACACAAGTTACAAAACATTTACATACAGCATTTTGTCCTACATTATATAATAATGATCTTTCTTAAATTCTATCCCGCCAGTAAAAGTCGGATGTCCCTGCCGAGTGGCTCACCTCTGTCGCCTGTTGTCTCCGCAGGGCAACTTGCGCAGCCATCACCCGCTGCCGCTCCACCACGAGCATACAGTTCGCGCACTGGCAGTCACGCCAGCGACAGAAGCGCTTGTGGCCTTTGAGACAAGACACGACGCCGTGGTTCCGACAGCGGGCGCATTTGGGGCTGCGGGTCATTTTGCGCTGCATCGCCGTCTGCTCCGCGGCCACCTTCGCTCCTTTCTCCGCGCCGCCGTGCCGCACCTCAGGCAGGCATCCGTCAAGACTCTCCACATCAATCTCCTCATCCAATTCGAGTTTCAGCGCATTAAGTTTGGTCTTCTCTATCTGTAGGCCTCTTTCCAAGTGAGTGGACATCTATGACAAATGCCTTCCACGCTGTTGCAGTGTGTTGCAGTGCTGTATTTCCCACTTTAAAAGTTGTTCACGTTGTAGAAGCGCACCGTTCCGTTTCCTCTGAGCAGGGAGAGGTGACTTTTGAAACCGCCAGACTTTTGAAACGTTAAGCTCTCAGCTGTTCTCTGACGTTTGACAGAGTTGTTTCGGAGAACAGAGGCGAGGCGCACTGGCTTGTGAGACACTTACTGTTGTAGGATATGTTTGCTCACACCACAGCCTGTAGCCTACCTGCCCTACCTTCAGACAGCAGACCACACCACATTTGATTGGACTTCCCAACTGTGCGAATCTCGATACATCTTCAACGTCATCAATTTGACATTGAATCCAGGTTAACCCCTCCTGTTAACATTTGGAATGTTTCCACAGAGCCTCATGCACTTGACAGTAAACACTGCTAGTTGGATAAGTTAAGGTATTTCCCAATTTAGTTGATTTTAGTCTTCCCTATATCAAATTGATTATGTACTAATGTCATACTTTTTTTGTGACCTAATATGAGTGATTTGTATGTCCAAACTTTCTAAAACAAATATGGAATATTACATAATTTTCATAATGAAGCAATAATTACACCCCTTTTTCTAGTTTATGTGACACACCATGTAAACACTAAAATGATGTGTAAATTAAACACAGTGTAATACATTACTTTTGACATAGGTGAGCTGAGAAGGGCGGTTAAACTGTTTTCACACCAAGGTGAGTTTAGACATGACAGAGAAATGAGGCACAATGTAGATGTTAATTACACATTGGACACGCCTCAGGGAGCTCGAGCAGAGCTCTCTTTGGAGAGTATGGTGTCACCACAGAGCTGAGAGGAAAGTGAAACGAAATATATTTTCCCATTTGCAGTACCTGGCAGTTATCTTTACTCCCTCAGTCATAACTGGTCTTGAATTATTCAGGTTTTTGTCTTAATGGAGTTAAGAATATTCAGAATGTTTCTTTTAATTCCTCTGCATAAAACTGAGGCCAAGGATTCTGCTTATTGTAGAATATGTTTTGCAATAATATACACATCAGTATTCAACGACTACCCAGTAAGCAAAATAAAAATAAAAATGTTCTGGTCATTGATTCTATTGCACATATATTCTCTATGAAGCATTAAATCACAATAATATTTTTTATCCTTCTAATATCACTGAAGATAGAAACATAGAGTATTTCTTATTGTGTAAGTGTCACATGCACTTATGTCAGCATTTCTAAAAGCCTTAAAACTGACAGCAATGACATTCATGTTCCAGCATACAGAATTAACCAACACATCACTTCAACTACAATAGCATTCTCAGTAACGGTTACAAAAATATTTTTATGTTTTTATGACTGATATGTTGTTGTTTTAGCTACTTTAGTTGTATGCACTAGCTGTAAGTTGCTCTGCATAAGAGTGTCTGCTGAATGACCAAAATGTACATGTAAAAACAAACACTTGCAAAGCATGCTGGGTATTACTCTAATGAGTTCCTCCCCTAAACAAGTACACGTTTGGTTGGTCCGGAATAGACCAAATCTGAACGAATCATAGATGTCTAGGCTATGTTTCACAAGTTTGAACAGAACAGTACAGTACAGCCCAGTTCAGCACAGTAGAGTAGAGTACAGTACAGGACAGTAGAGTTGAATTCAGTAGAGTAGAGTACAGCAGAGTGCGGTAGAGTTTAATTCAGAAGAGTACAGTACAGTTTAAATCAGTAGAGTACAATACACTACAGTACAGTTTAATTCAGTCAAGTACAATACAATACAGTACAGTTTAAATCAGTAGAGTACATTCAAGTAAAGGAGGGTACATTACAGTACATTACATTTTACATTTACATTTAGTCATTTAGCAGACGCTCTTATCCAGAGCGACTTACAGGAGCAATTAGGGTTAAGTGCCTTGCTTAAGGGCACATCAACAGATTTTTCACCTAGTTGGCTCGGGGATTAGAGCCAGCAACCTTTCGGTTACTGGCACAACGCTCTTACCCACTAAGCTATCTGCCCCCCGTATAGTATACTGTACTATACTCTACTGTACTCTACTGTACTGAACTATACTTTAATTTTCTTTACTTTACTCTACTGTACTCTATTGTGCTCTACTATATTGTGCTGTACTTTATTGTGCTGTACTTTACTGTACTGTACTATACTTTACTTTTCTTCACTGTACTGTAATGTACTCTACTGTACTGAACTATACTTTACTTTTCTTTACTTTACTCTACTGTACTCTACTGTGTTCTACTGTACTGTGCTGTCCAAACTTGTGAAACATAGATGTCTATGATTGGTTCAGATTTGGTCCGGACCTGACCAAAAATGAACGTCAGTGGAAGTTGTTAAAATCAATGCCGGTTTGGGCCGCACCAAAAACAAACAAAAAAGAACAGATTCATGTTTATTCTCATGAATCTTGCCCTAGAGGCTGAACTGAATGATTTCTGCTCGATGGGCCAGCTGAATCGTAACAAATTAATGAATAAAAAAATGTGCTTTTTGGTCATAATTTAGGGTTCGGGTTAGGCATTAGGGTTAGCAGTGTGGTTAAGGTTAGGGTTATGTTTAAAATCAGATTTTATGACTTTGTTGCTGTGCCAGCTAGTGACAACTCTAAAGAGCTGCCTCCAGGGCAAGATTCATGACAATAAATGCCAACCTGCAAAAATGACAACCGGACAGGACCAAAAAAAGAAGTCCAAAAGATGTCGGAGCCAGGCCGTGCTTAGTGGGTAAAGCCTATTATTTCTAGGCTTTTCCTTGCTGAACTTTTGTAGTTAATATTGCAGTTATGTTTATCTCATATATTTACATAGGCTATACCTCTTTGTTGCAGATAAAATCATTGCCAGTCAAGAGTTGCCTATATAATTTCACACAAGATTACTTATGATCACACCAGCAACAGCGACACCCTGTATTTAACTACACGGAACCAAAATATAAATGCAACATGTAAAGTGTTGGTCCAATGTTTCATGAGCTGTAATCAAAGATCCCACAAATGTTCCATATGTACAAAAAGCTTATTTCTCTCAAATGTTGTGCACAAATTTGTTTACATCGCTGTTAGTGAGCATTTCTCCTTTGCCAAGATAATCCATCCACCTGACAGGTGTGGCATATCAACAAGCTGATTAAACAGTATGATCATTACACAGGTGCACCTTGTGCTATAGGACAATAAAAAGCCATTCTAAAATATGCAGTTTTGTCACACAACACAATGCCACAGATGTCTCATGTTTTGAGGGAGCGTGCAATTGGCATGCTGACTGCAGGAATGTCCACCAGAGCTGTTGCCAGATAATTTAATGTTAATTTCTCTACCATAAGCCGCCTGCAACTTCGTTTTAGAGAATTTGGCAGTACGTCCAACCGGCCTCACAACCGCAGACCACATGTATGGTGTCATGTGGGTGAGCAGTTTGCTGATGTCAACGTTGTGAATTGAGTGCCCCATGGTGGCGATGGGGTTATGGTATGGGCAGGCATAAGCTACGGATAACTAACATAATAGCATTTTTATCGCTGACAATTTGAATGCACAGAGATACCGTGATAAGATCCTGAGGCCCATTGTCATGCCATTCATCCGCCGCCATCACCTCATGTTTCAGCATATTAATGCACAGCCCCATGTCGCAAGGATCTGTACACAATTCCTTGAAGCTGAAAATTTCCCAATTCTTCCATGGCCTCCATACTTACCAGACATGTCACCCATTGAGCATGTTTGGGATGCTCTGGATCGATGTGTACGACAGCGTGTTCCAGTTCCCGCCAATATCCAGCAACTTCGCACTGCCATTGAGCAGGAGTGGGACAACATTCCACAGGCCACAATCAGCCTGATCAACTCTATGTGAATGTCACGATCGTTTAAGGATTCATGGAACCAAGGCGCAGCGTGATAAGCGTACATATTTATTGAAGTACACAACACGAACAAAACAACAAACAAACGATATGTGAAGTCCAAGGTATACACAACAAACCTATACGGAACAAGATCCCACAACTAACTGGTGCCAACAGGCTGCCTAAGTATGGTCCCCAATCAGAGACAACGAGCTACAGCTGCCTCTGATTGGGAACCACCCTGGCCAACATAGATCTAAACGATCTAGAAGCTAAACATAGAACAACATAACATAGAAACTACACCCCTGGCTCTACATTTAAGAGTCCCCAGAGCCAGGGCGTGACAGTACCCCCCCCCAAAGGTGCGGAATCCGACCGCGCAACCTAAACATAACAGGGTAGGGGCCGGGTGGGCATTCCGCCTCGGAGGCGGATCCGGCTCCGGGCGTGACCACCACCTATCCTCCGCCTCCCTGTTAGCCCCTGGTCTGGTCTGGACCTCGGCGCGCTGCTTCCCCTCTCCTTCCTCCCACGACGTACCAAGTCCTGTCTGGACCCTGGTGTGGGAGACCCCGAACCTGGAGAGGGGCTGACGTCTGGGTCTGGACTGGCACCGCTGACTGGAGCTGGACCCGACGACGGTGGAGCGGACTTCTCTGGCTCCGGAGTGGAGCGGCTGACCGGAGCTGGACTGGACCCCGGTGGAGCGGATTGCTCTGGCTCCGGAGTGGATCCGCTGACTGGAGTTGGACCGGACCCCGGTTGAGCGGATTACTCTGGCTCTGGAGTGGAGCAGCTGACCGGTGCCGGACCAGGCACCGGTGGAATAGGCACGGGCCGTGCCGGACTGGACACACGCACCACTGGCTTGGTGCGGGGAGCAGGAACAGGCCGGACCGGGCTGACGACGCGCACCACTGGCTTGGTGCGAGGGACAGGAACAGGCCGGACCGGGCTGGCGACGAGCACCACTGGCTTGGCGCGAGGGACAGGAACAGGCCGGACCGGGCTGGTGACGCGCACCACTGGCTTGGTGCGAGGGACAGGAACAGGCCGGACCGGGCTGGCGACGCGCACCACTGGCTTGGTGCGAGGGACAGGAATAGGCCGGACCGGGCTGGCGACGCGCACCACTGGCTTGGTGCGAGGGACAGGAACAGGCCGGGCTGGACTGGGAACACGCACCACTGGCCTGGTGCGGGGAGCCGGAACGGGCCGGGCCAGACTGTGGAGGCGGACTGGAGGTCTGGAGCGGAGAGCTGACACAACCCGTCCTGGCTGAATGCCTACTTCCACACAATAT